TGCTGTATTAATGTTAATAAAGTCAACGTCGGACGTTTCAGTCTATTTTAGACCATCTTCAGGACATTTTCATTTAAACATAATTAACATTAGAACATATAAAAATCCAACATGAAAAGACGATGGACATAAGAGCACAACTAATCCAAACAGATAACTGAAATTTTTATATAAGATCAGCGTTCCGTTTAAATATGATCACGTCGTCGTCACTTGGGCGATGTTGTGAAAACGTATTCGAAGATGATTTCCAAATATTAAAATATTAAAAAAGTCGATTGAACTATTTTATATAAACAGTTCAAGAAATCCCTTCCATTGATATATATATATATATATATATATATATATATATATATTCTAAGCGTTTCACCACAAGCAAGGCGGGAAGCCACTAGGACGCAAGGGGTTATAGAAGATTTGGAGCAAGATCAGATAGGAGTGATAGAGGAAAGGATGAGGAGAAGGATAGTTGATAGATCAAGGGAACTGGAGATGTCGATTGACACTACATTCGAATAGTTGGAGATTATAGCTCTCAGGGAAACAAGAATAGGGAAGGGAGTTCCACAGGCGAGAGGTGCGAGATATGAAACTATTGGAGTGGAAGAGACGGCTACATTTAATAGTTTCAACAGTGAAAAGGTGAGAGCGGGATGCCAGCCTCGTAGGGCGCTTGAATTCATGAAGTCTGGGAAGCAGCGAATGCAGCTCCTCGGAGCAATTAACAAGAAAGTATTTGTAAATAAAACAGAGAGAGGCGACGGCGCGTCTATCTAATTATTTATTACAGGAGATTAAAACAAAAACATGTTAAAAATCGCTACACAAGAGCAATCGGGTTTCAACACGATAAATGTGTCTCCTTGGGCGGTGGTAAATTACTGGCGAGTGAACGATTAATTTAATTTTTAAATCAGAATACTTCCTCTTTTTCCGAAAAAGTATTAAAAAGAAGCTTGAGTGTTTTACCGTTATTAACCAATCAAATGTGTCTAACGCTAAATTCAAACTAATCGTCAAAAAATATAGGTAATGACATGAAGTTGTCTGCATATAAATCCTAGACAATTTCATTTGTGGCAGATACAAATGGTTACATTATTTCGTAAAATATATAGAAGTATGACGTTCAACTTTTACAAGAAGTTAAAGTTAGAGGTGTGGGGGTGGCAATCTAACGTAGTCTTTTATTCTGTTTTTTTTTGTTTCTTTTCTGTCTTTCTTTCTATTTCGTCTTCTTTTTTACATTTTTTACTTTCCTTCTTTTCTTCAAATATTCTTTACTCCTAAATTGTTGTTCGTTTCCTTTGTTCGTTGATGTATTTTCTTGCTTTTTTCTTTCTTTCTTTACCTTTTTGTTTTTTAACTAATTCTTTCTTTCTTTCTTTCTTTCTTTCTTTTTTCTACTTCTATTTCCTTTCCTCTCTTCCCTTTCCCTATTTTTGTTTTTCTTTCTTTCTTTCTTTCTTTCTTTCTTTCTTTCTCTTTCTTTTCCTTTTTCTTTCTTTCTTTCTTTCTTTCTTTCTTTCTTTCTTTCTTTCTTTCTTCTACTTCTATTTCCTTTCCTCTCTTCCCTTTCCCTATTTTTGTTTTTCTTTCTTTCTTTCTTTCTTTCTTTCTTTTTTTCTTTCTTTCTTTCTTTCTTTCTTTCCCTCTCTTTCTTTTCCTTTTCTTTCTTTCTTTCTTTCTTTCTTTCTTTCTTTCTTTCTTTCTTTCTACTTCTATTTCCTTTCCTCTCTTCCCTTTCCCTATTTTTGTTTTTCTTTCTTTCTTTCTTTCTTTCTTTCTTTCTTTCTTTCTTTCTTTCTTTCTTTTGTTCAAGTTTTTCTTTTTTTTCTTTGTTTTTCTTCGTTTTCTTTTGTATATTCTCTTCGGATTTTTTCATGTTTTTTGTCGTTGTTCCTTTTTTTCCCTATGTATTTTCTTTGCCTTTTTTTTGTTTACATTCCGTCTTTCTTTCTTTCTTTCTTTCTTTCTTTCTTTCTTTTCCAGTATGCACTTCTTTCCTTTTATTGGCCTTCTTCCATTTTGTTTTTCCCTTTTTTTATTTTTATTCCTTTTTGCCTTTCTTGATTTACTTTTATTTTCTTTAATAGTTCTTGATTTCATTCCGAGTTTGAAATCTTTCCTTTGTCCCTCCCCCTTTTATTTTCTTTTAAGTGTTTCACTCCCTCCTTTTTTCTTTTATTTTCTTCACTCCCCCTATCCACTCCTCTCATCCTGAAACTTCTTCCAAGCACTTAGCACCACTTTCCGCCAAGGAAAAGCGAACATTTTCAAAAGTTGTTCCTCGACAAATGCACTCCTCGAAAAACGCCCGTAACCATGACGGCGACAGGGCCGCTTGCAATGAAAAGCTAAATCCATATCTTTTAAATTCCTTTCATTCGTCTCTCCTTACTGCCAACGATTTTATCGTTATTTTACAGATAAACATTTTCGCCCTATCCGCGCCATCTTGCCACTTTTTTGCTCCTTCCATAACACAACCACTTACAACCACTTTGCTCTCCACATCTCCCAGCTTTTGACCTTACATTGAACTGCAACCATTTTGTTTTATTATTTCATTTCTCCCTCTCAGTTTTATCGCTGTGAAAACCGTCTGCTTCTTTCTTTCGTTTACTTTCGCCATTTTTTCTTTGATGTCTTTCTCTTTTAAACAACGCCATTGGATACACTTATTTGTGTACACTTACCTTTTTAGTTTTCATTCAATTTATATTTTCTTTTTCATTCATTTATTCTCTTATTCATTCATCCAGTTTTCTTTTTTTTTTGTCTGTCATTTACTTTTTTGTCTTTTGTTTTACGTTTCGTTTCTTTCTTCATCATTATTTATCTTTATTTATTGTTCGTCGGTTATCGATTCATTAAAAGAAGTATCCTCTCCATTTTCATTCATTCTTTTCTTTCACCAATATTTATTTAGTTTATCTTTCTTTTACTATACAATATTCTTTTATTCTTTTTGTATATCTTTCTTTCTTTGCCTCATTTATTTCTATTTTTCTTTCTCCGTTTTCTTTCCTTCTTATTTCATTTATTGCGTTAAAATCTTAGCATTTTATTTTTTCATCTTTCTTCTTCACTTTCTTGTTTTATTTTCAATATTTCTACCTCATTCTTTCTTTCTTTCTTTTCTTTCATTTTATCTATCTATCTATATATATATTGATAAATTGATTTTCTTTCTTGTTTATTCTGTCTTTCTATCGATATTTCTATTTTTCGTTGTTTTTTTCTTCCTTGTTTTATTCATTCATTCGATTTTTCTCGGTTTTTGTGTCTTTCTTCTTTAGTTCTTTTTTCCTTTTTTCTCTCCTTGCCATTCTATCTTTCTATCGATATTTCGATTTTTCATTATTTTTTACTCGTTCTTTTTTTCTTTCGTTCATTTTTCTTTCATTCTTTAGTTCTCTCTTTCTTCGTTTTCTTTCTTTCTTTTTTCTTTTATCCATTCCTTACTTCCTTCAATCTTTCTCTCTCCATTCGTTTTTTCTTTCTTTTTTCTTTTATCCATTCCTTACTTCCTTCAATCTTTCTCTCTCCATTCGTTTTTTCTTTCTTTTTTCTTTTATCCATTCCTTACTTACTTCAATCTTTCTCTCTCTCTTCGTTTTCTTTCTTTCTTTTTTCTTTTATCCATTCCTTACTTCCTTCAATCTTTCGCTCTCCTTTCGTTTTCTTTCTTTTTTCTTTTATCCATTTCTTACTTCCTTCAATCTTTCTCTCTCCATTCATTTTCTTTCTTTCTTTTTTCATTTATCCATTCCTTACTTACTTCAATCTTTCGCTCTCCATTCGTTTTTTCTTTCTTTTTTCTTTTATCCATTCCTTACTTCCTTCAATCTTTCGCTCTCCTTTCGTTTTCTTTCTTTTTTCTTTTATCCATTCCTTACTTACTTCAATCTTTCGCTCTCCATTCGTTTTTTCTTTCTTTTTTCTTTTATCCATTCCTTACTTCCTTCAATCTTTCTCTCTCCCTTCGTTTTCTTTCTTTCTTTTTTCTTTTATCCATTCCTTACTTCCTTCAATCTTTCTCTCTCCCTTCGTTTTCTTTCTTTCTTTTTTCTTTTATCCATTCCTTACTTCCTTCAATCTTTCTCTCTCCCTTCGTTTTCTTTCTTTTTTTTCTTTTATCCATTCCTTACTTCCTTCAATCTTTTTCTCTCCTTCGTTTTCTTTCTTTCTTTTTTCTTTTATCCATTCCTTACTTCCTTCAATCTTTCTCTCTCCTTCGTTTTCTTTCTTTCTTTTTCTTTTATCCATTCCTTACTTCCTTCAATCTTTCTCTCTCCCTTCGTTTTCTTTCTTTCTTTTTTCTTTTATCCATTCCTTACTTCCTTCAATCTTTCTCTCTCCCTTCGTTTTCTTTCTTTCTTTTTTCTTTTATTCATTCCTTACTTCCTTCAATCTTTCTCTCTCCCTTCGTTTTCTTTCTTTCTTTTTTCTTTTATCCATTCCTTACTTCCTTCAATCTTTCTCTCTCCCTTCGTTTTCTTTCTTTTCACTTGTGTCTCTCTCTTCTTTCTCTCCGTTCTTAAGAACCGTTGTTACTCAACAATGAATCAATAAAAGCCGTAGGTGAATATCTTAAGAAAATGTCACAATCACCGATGAATTTGATGACTTGTTAAAATATTTTAAGCTGCATTACAACTCCACACGAGCTATCATTGACAACCTAATAAATAATTTAATTACGAAAAAAAAAAAAAAGATTTACTGATTGAAAGTACGTATAATTGCTGTATTTTTACGTTCTGAAGAATTGGTTTCTCTAAATGTTTTGCTCCTGGGTTCAACATCTTATCAATGTAAAAGATTTGAATAGGGATTTGTCTTATATATATATATATATATATATATATATATATATAACACACACAAACACAAACAAACATATATATATTTCATTCAATTGGAATTAAGCATACACACACACATATATAGATATTTCATTCAATTGGAATTAAGCTACCATTGTTGAACAAACTGACACCATAAACAGTGAGAAAAATCCTGTGAATTTTAAATTTAAAATTCCCCGGTGAAAATGATCATTCACTAATGGTATCTTAATCCCAATTTATGAAATATTTTGCTCTGTTTAATGAAAATAAACAGTGAGCGCTCTTTGTAAGTCGGTTTTAACGTTTAATATTTAAAATTCTATATTGTCTTAATAGGACTCGCTTGGTTTATACCAACGGATTACTACCTATATATATATATATATATATATATATATATATATATATATATATATATATATATATGTGTGTGTGTGTGTGTGTGTGTATATAATAATAATAATAACAATAATAATTAATATATATATATATATAATAATAATAATAATAATAATAATAATAATAATAATAATAATAATAGGATTCACCTAAATGGATTTTCAGGGTAAACTTCAGTTTACCCTGAAGATCCGTTTAGGTGAAACCTAGGTAGTTTTGCCTGGCTCCTTAGGATTTATTCTAGTTTATTGCTCTGCTTAGCGTATTGATCACTCTACGTTTTAGTCTTACTACTCGCTTCGTTTTTTTTTTCTTTGGACTAAGAACTTTAAGCACTCGGTGATTTGTTTCGTCTTGTTCTGATGTTTTTAGTTCTTTCTTTTTTATTTCCATTTTTTTTCCTCGAGTACGGATTTGTCCTGACATATCTGGAAGTTGAGCTATTCGAGGTTTTACAAACGAGTATTTAAAAAAAATTCGCTTGAAGATGGAACAGAGCTTGGTATTTTAATTCGGTTTTTCGGCTCTTGTTTTGAAACATGAGAACTCTTATGTAGCGTTGGAATCATATTTTAAATAAATAATTATATATATATATATATATATATATATATATATATATATATATATATATATATATATACAAAGATTAAATCGGATATTCTTCCATGTGTGCTCTTTTGTTTGAAAACTGTTATCAAGTTTTGAATAAAGAGGAATGCATATAAATATTCTATTAGAAAACAATGTTTATTTATTTATTGTGGAATACTTGCATGGATCGGGAAGATTTTGGTGTGGGAACAATTTCGCGGAGAGAACGATTCCTAAAAGACACTGCAAATCTATAGAATCTCCTTAAAAGAAACTTTTCAAAAAGGATGGAAAAAAAGGCTATTACTCTGTTGGTGAGTTAAAGAGTGAATGATGATCGACGAGTGAAGAAGCGCCAAATTTGGTGTCCTATTTCGAGTTCAGCCCGATGGGTTACGGCCATATCATGTTAAGGTACCGGTTCCGTCACAATCACAGAAGTTAAGCAACCTCGAGCCTGGTAAGCTCCTAGATGGGTAACTGCTTAAGAATAACAGGAGCAGTAAATTTGGACGTGCGGGTGATGTGATGGATAATGATTCAGAATTGTTAATCGAAGAATCGATTTCCAATTCACGTTGGGTTCGTTATATTCACTTACGCGCTTGGAAATAAATCCGTCTCTTCTGCCCCCAGGTATGGATTAATTAGTAATCAAGAGTAACTTATTATATTTCTTGGTTCTTACTGTACAAAAAGATAAAATAAAATAAATAAAAATAAAAGTAAAAAAAATAAATAATGGAGAACTGTTGTCATATTTGGGCGAGAAATCAGCTTCGATAGAGTTCAAAAGCGTCTCCTATTTCTTGTGGGTGATGAACTGTTTTCTCCTCTTCTCGTTCCAGCTACGGGTTAAAGTGTGAGAAAATCACTATTATGATCTAAAAAAAGAAAAAAAAAATCTTAAATCTAAAAATGCTTTCTGGCTTTAAATAACCTGAAAAAGGTTCAAAAGCCGTAGAAAACGAATAAGGAATGAATTAATCAAACAATCGAGATCAACGTTAAGTAAAGAGAGTTAACCTCTTTGGATTCACAATGCGCAGACTCCGTGATTTTTTTATTTTGCACATGCCCAAAGGCTGAAAAGGGTTTGTGTTATTACTAATGTTATGGTCCGCTTCCTTGTACCACGGTGATAGTCCAAGGTAGAACCAATAAAGAAGAACTCGAACACAGGTATGGAATAACACAGATATATTACAAACAGGAATATATACAGAGAAGTAGACGTGTTAGTATGAACAAACAGGTTTAGTAGAGAGAACAATGTAGTCTCGACCAGTATCACTATTCCAATGTCTTGCAGTAATTGTCTGAACGCGACTCTGTTTCGGACTGCCTCTGACTCGACTCTTGACTCAACTTGAACTACTGACTATATTTAGTCACCGCCCCCTCCCCCCACGTGGGTATCATGTGGCACAAGGCCGGTTTAACGTGGAATCTCCGAGCCCGTGGGCTCGGCCAAAAATATGTCCATTGAACCCGTATAAACGGGTTCAGGGGCTGTTGACCTCCCCGAAAGAGTATCCGCCCTTCGGCGTAGTCTCCTTCGAGTTCCTCCCCGCCCGAAGGCAGAGAGTTCAACCGAACAGCCGGTCAGGACTTGAACGACTGACTATATTTAGTCACCCACCCACATGGGAATCATGTGGCACAAGGCCGGTTTAATGTAGGATTTCCGAGCCCGTGTGATTTCCGAGCCCGTGGGATTTCCGAGCCCGTGGGATCTCCGAGCCCGTGGGATTTCTTATCCCGTGGGCTCGGCCAAAAATATGCCCATTGAACCCGTATAAACGGGTTCAGGGTCGGTTTACCTCCCCGAAAGAGACTCCGCCCTTCGGCGTAGCCTCGTTCGGGTTCCTCCCCGCTCGAAGGCAGAGAGTTCAACCGATCAGACGGTCAAGACTTGAACGACTGACAATATTCAGTCTCCCCCCCCCCACTGGGGCAACATGTGACACAAGGTCGGTTATTTATTGTGGGTTTAAACGGGTTCAGGGCCGGTTTTACCTCCCCGAAGGAGACTCCGCCCTTCGGCGTAGCCTCCTTCGGGTTCCTCTCCGTCCGTAGACAGAGAGTCCAACCGAACAGTCGCTCAGAAAGTGAGCGAATGACGATATTCACTCACTGTTCAGTCTTTAATGATCTAGAGAGACAAGGTTGTTAACCGTTACACCACGTCGAAGGGTCCGTAAAACGTTTTTTCTAAACTTAGATGTGGCCCAAGGCCAAAAGTATAGGGCACCCAGTGAGGATCAAATATACTATTCCTTTATAACTGATCTATCGGGACAAGCTTTCTAACCATGACACCAAGTCGAAATATCCAACGTCTGCTATAGATGCATTGACATATTTCCTTTATAGGTAAATCCTTAAAGATACAGGTAATGTGGTTCGCTCCAGTAAGTACCTGACTCCTTATGTTATCCTGCGTCTTTACAAGAGCCAGATCATGCCGAAAATGGAGTACTGTTGTCATATTTGGGCGGGAGATCAGCCTCGAGAGAGTTCAAAAGCGTCTCTGATTTCTTGTGGGTGACGAATTGTTTTTCCATCCATCAACCTCTCCTTTACAGATAGGATGTGGCGAGTCCCTCACTGCTCTATCGTTACTTGCATGGAAAGTGCTCGGACTAACTATATTTCTTGGTTCCATTAAGTCTAACCTTCATGGCCAGGACCAGCCATGCCACTTACATTGTAGCAAACCGCGCGAATTCACTCGAATTTCCGCGAACCTCTGTTCTGTGTAACCGACTCCCAAGACTGTTTCGCCGATCATTACAACCCTAACCTGTTCAAGTCTAGGGTTAACCATTACCTTCTCTCCTATCTGTATAAACTCTCTCTTAACGTAACCCTCTAACTCGAGAGAATACTGGACCATGTACACCTTGTACACCTTTTATACCTTACTGTCCTAAAAAATAAGATAAAATAAAAAAAAGAAAGAAATATTAGTTGAATAAGAATTTTCTTCCATTTTCATGAACAGTTACAGACTCAATGAAACTTGTCTATATTTCTGAGATGAGGTATTATGTACATTATTTGGACTATTGTCTTCATCTTTGTCGCCATATATATCAGAACGTTTCGGCCGTTGTACGCTCCGGCTTTCTTCCACTGCCTTGAGGGCGGCCTATATATATATATATATATATATATATATATATATATATATATATATATATATTAATTAAATAATTAAGAAAGAGACAGCTTTATATTTTCTGTGGAGATAAATCATCGTCATGGATCCTTAAGTTTGCCTCTTAATAATTTTATTAATATTTGTTCTGTTCTTACATTGAGCTCTCTGGATTACATTCTCTTTGGCATTATCCACACGGATTACCAAACTCTTCTCACGGTCCTTATGCATACATACATATATATATATATATATATATATATATATATATATATATATATATATGTGTGTGTGTGTGTGTATGTATATGCATGTATGTATAAATATAAAGTGAACATAGAAGTCAACACTTAGAGGCGACAGTCTGTTTCATGCTAGATGCAATCGTCAAGCCACCTAGATTGCATCTAGCAAGAAACAGACTGTCACTTCCTAAGTGTTGATTTCTATGTTCTCTTTATATTTATATACGTTCTATCTCTGATATTGAGCACTTTATCCCATCAATATAGCACATCTTAAGACTATATTTCTTATTCTTTTTATATATATATA